TTGGGGTCACTACTGGACCCCCTGGAAGAAGTGACCTGCAGCATCTGCCTGGAGACAGGAGGCCTGGGAGCACCTCCTGTGGCACAGCTTCTGCCAGCCCTGCTCTCAGCTGAGTGACTCTTGACCCGCCGAGGTCACTGTGTTCTCCGCTGCCAGGGCCACCACAAGAGGGAACAGCAGTTCAGTTTTATTCTGGTCATTTGTCCTCTGGGGGCAGACTTGCCCAGGGGTCATTTTCCTCTTTTCTACATTTAATCTGGATCCCTGCAGCCTGGTGCAAGTGGTGGGGTATGACCAGCTTTGCTGAGGCCCGCTTTAGCAGCAAGCCTTGACAGAAGCCATGGGGAGAGAGGCCCATGGCATTCTAGGCCCAACTCAGCATATGGACTGTGGGCTCCCTGAGCTCTGGCAGCGTTGGCCTGGGCTGTGCTGTGGCGGTGGGAGACAGCCTGGTGGCTGTGATAGGGGTGCTGCTCTGGATGCTCAGGTGAGCATCTGGCCCTGCTGAGCCCACTCCCACTGTGATCCCTGATGCTGGGGGAGAGGGGACCTTACTGCGTGCAGCCTACGGGCCTGTTTGATGCCTCTGAGTGAGCAGCCTGCACTCAGGTGAGACTATCTGACCTCAGGCATCTGGACACATGGGCAGGTGTTTCATTTGAGAACACAGTGCCAGAATTGTAATGGACCAAACAGATTCAGGCTCTGACAGGTGTCATTCAAGATATTTTTGTTTTGTTTGTTGTTTTAAAAGAGATTTTTATTTTTACTTACGTATGCACACAAGAATGGGGTTGGCCAGAGGTGTTGGGGGTAAGAGGATTCACCAGAGTCAGAGTAGGGAGCAGAACAGGAGGATCTACTGAAATACATTGCTAAGGGGAGCAGCGGGCTAGACAGGAGAGGTCTGCTGTGCCACGTGGATTGGCTCCCTGGCCAGGGATCGAACTCATGTTGTAGTGGCTGGCAATACTTGATTGTGCTGTATCTTTAACCCCTGCCCACCAGGGAGCACCACCATTCAAGGTTTTTGAGACCATCCAGGCCTCTAAATGGACCAATCTGATTGGAGCTCCACTGGCACCAACCAAACAGCTGGGATTATAAAGGGGCCAATCAAGCTTGAAAGGTGGCGCCCTGAAGAGGATACAAGCCAGAGCAGCAGCCAGCCTGAGCCACTTGATAGACAGCTACTGGTCAGATTTGTCGGTACTCCTAGAAAGATTTTGCCAAGCCCTCTGCAGAGTGTGAGACCTTTCAGACACCTTTCTGAGACCTGATGGCTACACCTGCCTCTGGCCTGGCTCTAACACCGCCTGCAGAGAAATCGTCAGGCTGTCCCTGGGGTTTCTAAAGGGGCTGTTTGCTGGTGGCTTATGCCCAGTCTCTCTAAGGCTGTTTGCTGTTGGTACAATGGCATCTTGATTAAGATGTAAACTGGCATCTCTGGCACCATTGCCTGCTGGACCAGTGCTGACCAGCACTGCTGACCTGTATCTGGCCTCCTCTGAGAGCTGTCCACCATTTCATCTTGGGCACCATCTCCTGGTGCTATCACATCTTGCACTGTCCAGTCATGGGTCTGGTGCTGTCCGCCGGCCTTTGGACAGCTGTTGCTGGCTGCTGCAGTGTCACTGAGCAGCCCCACCTGGGATCACCCCCGCTGCCACGGGAGTTGGATCCTGCTCCACTGCTTACCTGTTGTCACCAGCTCCAGGCTGTCATAGCACAGCTTGTGTGAGTAGCCTTTGTTTTGGACGGTGGACACTGAGGACACTGTCTGAGGTAGGACGGATGGCCATTTCTGGGCTTAGACACTCCTTCCTTGTTTGCAGTCTCCCTTTTTAATACCCTGTTGCTTTTACATCCTGAGCCTGAGTGTTGTCTTCCAAGTGTGAGCACATGGATGAGGACCCAGAGACAGTGACTGTCCCCAACATTGCTGTTTTAACATAACTGAGATCGGACTGGTGACTGTCCCGCTGCAGGTGTGGTGTCCTGTGCCCACTTGACCCCTTCTCTGTTCAGGCCTGAGAAAGTGACAAGTGAAGCTGCAAAAATTCATGCCTCATCCTCCTGGTGGCATAGGGGTTAAGCACAGCACTGTGAAGCTATCCAC